TTATTCAACAAGATCTACATTTTAGATTAGCTACTATATGCTCCTTAGCGATATATTGGTTTGACCTTATGTTCTTTTCCCTGTTTCTGTGACTGGTATTGTTTACAGGTACGATGAAGTTGTAAGCATTTCCAGATACGCATGTTGTTCTGGTGAGAGGTGCTGCTGTAAATCCTCTATTGGTTCCAAAGGCCTGACCTGCACTGCAGCGACACTCAAACTGTGGAGGGTCTTCCATCATGAGAAATGCAGCGATATAATGAAGGTTCTCCCTACAACCACCACTATTTTCTAAAATTATGCGAAGTTACCCACAATATTATAAACCCAAGCATGCCATTGACTGGAAAGTTTAGAACCAATGATAATATCGATAAGCTTTCACAAGCATCATCTACAGTGCTAGGCTGGCTGGTGTTGTGCATAGTTCTAGATGCAGTTAACTCTAGAAGTACTAAGTTACTTCTAGTTTTTCCCTTCCGCTGTAACCTGTATGTTCAGCTCTCCAATAATCACTCAAATGTGTAGAACCCATCTCCTAGCAGGTCTTTTTCTGATTTTCTTCTAATTTACAAAATAAAGCAAGAAAAGAAAAGAGCGCCGCTCATCCACGAGCCTGCCGCCGCTGCTTGCTGATCCCACCAGAGCCACAGCTGCCCTGTGCGCCGAACCATAGACCCAGTGGCAGAGTGTAGTGGAGGCAAAGCTGGGCTTCAGGGCCCCCTACGCGGCGCTATCACAATCACATCTGCTACTTCTAGAGGTGGCTGCAAGCAATAGGACAAGGTACGGTTTGGTAGGTCATAACTCCCCTCCCGTGTCCACATTTATGGCATAGGACAGTTTGTCCAATATACCACTCGGGTTGTCCACATCTATGGGACACCACAGGTTCTCTAGTATACGGTTGTCATTTATGATGTAGCCTAGTTTGTCCAATATAGCAATACCACCAAGTCCCTTAAGTAGCCATTCTCGGACCCGTAGTGCACAGACAGTTCGTGCATCCTGCGAATCGAGTCCCCTTATTAGAGTCTACAACAAACACTGTGCAGCATGCTAGGTGCCGAGCGCATGGCAGCGTTGGTTGGTAACCAGTTTTGCCAGCCATGCCAACTACACCATAGAGCCCGCAACTACATTTGCCTGGATTGCCAAGCACCACATCAACAAGCCTTGTGCCTACACTGCCGAGCAGACCAAGTATCCCACCGGACCGTACAAGTTCTAGGATTCGCCCTTTATACACAACTCTAAGCCTTTCTTTATGGCCATCCCTAAGTAGGTTATGTTCAACTGAATAACCGTCGAACTCATCGTGCAGGTGCTAAAGAAAGCAACGAGAGACGTGCTACGTGTACAAGATGTGTCGAGTCTTATTGACATATCGGAGGTGCAACAGTGTGTCTGTAACGGGTGCAAAGTCGTTTACCTCAAGAAATGGTTTGGTAGTAAAGGCTCGGTGTTTAGGCCCAAGCCTCGGTACCACTGGATGTCTGCATGTGTTGGTTGCAGACGGAGACTGAAGAGCGCATATAAGTTTTGCTCCATTGAGTGCAAACACGTAGGTTCCTGTTTCCTCGCTTTTAATAAACAGTCATGGCCCTAAGCCTGCTGATCATTTCTTTGAGGTATTGTTGTGTAGGAAGGGGCTGCAACTCACACGGCACAGGACGTTGGGCTGCCCAAGCACCCATTCAAGGTGGAGGATGCCGCTGAATCTAGCCACTCAGCGCTTCCGAGGACATCACGCAAGGGCCGCCCGATACGCGCGCCATTTTTTTGATGCATACGCAGCGGAGGAGGAGCGTACAACTGGGAGCCAGTATGGACAGCATAGGTCTGTAATCAGATACGCCGTTACACGTCTATCGACGTTTGTAATATATCGATGTTTGTAATATACGGCTGCGTCAAATTAGATCTTGTTTTAGTTACAAACCGGGCTACTGCATCGCACGGCCCACCTGTGCGCATGCACCGCTGGTATGGTATCCATCTCTCGCTTTTCAGCACGCAAACAATGCGTGGGCAGGAACTAATTGTGGTTCTAAGAATGGAAGCAAGGGCTCGCATAATAGGTGTTTACATGTGTTGGTAGCACTATGTTTTTCGGCCATGCGTGAGCAACATCTAAGGCTTTATGGATACAGTGACACCGCCATCGGCCGACTTGCCCGGCAGGGTAGGGCCCAACATACCAGAGGTGCAAGCGCGCGGCTTCCGCCTGGAGATGGCCGCCGGCAGGTGGTAGGGGGCAGCGGCACGACCGGGCCGGGGCCTGGGCTGGCAGACAGGCAACCGGCTTGGGCGCCGAACTGGGGCCGACTGGCGCTTGGTCGCAGGAACCTAGCAGCCGGGTACACAGGCAGGCAAGGCTGGGCAAGCAGCGGACGAGCAGAGGAGGGTGTCAAACCTAATCAACTTCCCTAGCTGAGACCATGATGTCATGGAACATCAGCTATAGAAGCCCTAATAAAACACAAGCATACGATCGTACTCTGGTTTGGCTGAAGCTTTGCAAGTAGAGTCATTCTTCTTCTAACCAAACCATCCTAGCCATCGGCTAGACCAAGCCTCTTTCTCATGATGAGTGAGTAATCACCCATAGACATTGGTGGACTAAACAGGTAACGAGGACTGGAAATGAGGACGGGTTGGGGCCAGGGCACTGCATAAGGGCACGTGCACATACAAATCAACAAGTGATGCATGCATGCAAAGAAAGCACACCCCCAGCAGCGTGCATGTACGTGTACTCGGATGCATGCCGACCAGCATGCTAATTAGACACCGCCCATGCATGCGACAATCCAGCGCCTCTTGCTACGCGCCACCGTCCATTTGCATGCCGGGTACCATCAGAGGCACCGTACTTCATTTAATGTGGCCACTTACTTATGGAATAGTATTTTTTACAGAAAGGACACGTGGAAGCACAGCTATGTAAATGCCCATACCAGTAAAACTTTTTACGTGCAAAGGACACCTACAGGGAAGCATGCACGCAAAGTACGCAAGCAGATAGCTCATACATGCATGCAAAGCAAGGCCCTAGCATGCACGCAAAGTACGCAAGCAGATAGCTCATACATGCATGCAAAGCAAGGCCCCAGCAGCATGCAGGCACCCGTACTCGCATGCGTGCCGACCACCATGGCATGCATGCCAAGAATCCACCGTCATTTACGTGCCGCGTACAATCACCTTCCAGGGTATTACATGGCTGCAAACAGCAAAGTAATATATAATACTACGAAATTCATATATTACGATACCATATGGATAGGCGGCATGCTACCATGATTTACATCCTACATGTAACTTGCAAGCAACGCAATATTCTTCTTTGAATCGAATATGGTATCATAATATATGAATTCACCCATATTATCTTACTCCTCATGGGGCTTGTAGCTATCTCGTTTGTCATGGGAGGTTGAGAGATAGAACAACTTGACAAAGCACTACTTCTCCTGTTTTCAAGTTTTTTTGCAAAACAAAGTTAAGTTCCTCGAATAATACTCTCATATCGCTCAATGTGTTATATATCCTCAGCAAGGCGCAAATGGTCTGCCTTCTTCTATAACACCCTAAAGTTTCAGTTTTCATAAATAGCTTCAAGTGATTTAATTTTGTTTAGGTTGCTTGAATTTTATATAGGAAAATAAGTGTTTTCAAAACTAAAGTAAAAAAGAACTATAAATTAGGAACCATGTATGTTGCGTTGACGCTGGTTGCACCTTGTGTTTTATCAGCGCCAAAATGCTTAAATGTGTTTAGACACCATCTAATCCTACAAATATGGAAATAGTTTATATAAATCTAAGTCAAAGCTCATGATTGTTTGACTAATCGCGAGCCGAGACTTCCGTTCCCTCTGGGACCGAGGGAGTATGGAGTACCCTGTTTTAAACTGGTCCAGTCGAGGAGAGCAACTGGCTCCCCAAGATACCACATTTATTTCAGCTGTTTCTATCTGCGTCCTGAAGAATTTACTTTTGGCGTTCACAAATGTTGCAACGATGGGACAGAGAAACTCTAGTAGCTCTCTTGAGGCTTGATTTGAAGAGATACAGATACCGAGTGGACAGAACAGTTTCAGTTTCCTGGTATGCTGCTGGGGATGCTAAAACCGAGCTATTCTTTTCTCGCAGGGCCAGTTGGGAAAAAAAACACCGAAACCGCAAGATGCTTGGATTTGGAGTTCTATCATCTGTTCTACTACTACTAGAGCACAAAAGGGAATGGCTGAATAAATATCTAGCTAACAACAGCTTGTAATTTTTCAAGAAACAAGGCACGAGGAATGGCTAAATAAATATCTAGGTGCAATGCAGGTGTTTGAATTCAGGTACAGGTGCTGAATGCAAACTGTGAGGTACAGGTGTTGGATGCAAATTGCTGTCCAATGTTGCAACTTGCAGGTAGCAACAGATACCAAAACCGAAGATATATCATATATGGAAGCACGAACCTGTGTGCGAAAACATGTTACAAGTGCATTTTTCTGAACTGAAGCTACAAACTTAAGAGCAGAGTTGAACTTGGTGGACTGCAAGATGTGAGAATTGGGGATGGAGATGCGATCAGTTGGTCCTAGGTTCACGTGTTCTTCATCAATACAGATAAGAAACAGTGAATGATCCTGTTGTAATGTCTGTACAAACGAAATGCATCACCCTCAAACTAATAAACTAAAAAGAAAGAAATTTCCTACTCCCTGCATGATTTCATAGCCAAGCCTGGAGATAGAATCCTACAAGAATCACTAGAACAACTTGGTGAACCCTTTCAGAATTCAGAAAACGATAGAACTGTTCTAAAATAAGAACAATCATATGGAATCCAACGCTTAGCATCAGATGAACACAATCTAGAAGGAGAAAAGTAGCAAAAGAAAAAAAATGATCCAGTGTATATTTACATCAAACTTAAGGGTCAGTCAAACCAAATGAGTTAGCAGCTAGCTAGTAGCAGGATTCATGACCTTGGGACGATCAGATCCTCCAGAGGTCGCCGCTACTGGCCCCGTTCGGCTTACCCCATATCTGGCTTGTTCGACTTCTTTTTTTCCAGCCGAAACAGTACGTTTCTCTTACGCCATTTCAGCCGGAACAGACTTTTTTTAGCCACGGAACGGCTCGGTCGGAGAACTGCAGCGTGGCGTCGGCGGCGAGCATGTCCCGGTACGTCTTCCTGATGGCCCATAGCGCGCTGCAGCAGTCGCTCATGGCGGGCCTGTCCTGTCGGACGGGGCCCATGCACCGGAACGCGAGCTCCAGCACCATCTCCAGCGCGCGTTCCACGGCGGGCGTGCGGGCGAGGTGCGGGTCCAGCACATCGGCGGAGGCGCCGCCGATGAACCTGCCCATGGCCCAGCGCGCGGTGAGGCGCTCCTTCAACTCGCGCTTGATCTCGATGGGGCGGCGCGCCGAGGCGAGCTCCACGAGGAGCACGCCGAAGGAGTAGACGTCGCTGCGGTCCGTGAGCTGGCACGTCTTGAGGTACTCCGGGTCCAGGTACCCCGCCGTGCCCTTCACCTGGGTGGTGACGTGCGTGGCCTCCCCGCCGGCGCCGGCGCCCAGGCCGGCGCCAAGGCGGGCGAAGCCGAAGTCGGCCACCTTGGCGCGCAGCGAGTCGGTGAGGAGGATGTTGGAGAACTTGATGTCGCGGTGGATGATGGGGTGGTCGGAGTACATGTGCAGGTACGTGACGGCGTGCGCGACGTCGATGGCGATGTCCAGCTGCGTCCCAAAGTCCAGGAACCGCCCGTTGCACCCTGCTTGTTTTCATGGTTTGGTTGGTTGCTGGCGAGGGGAGAGATGAACTTGGAAGCAGAGCAGCAATGGCAGGTGGTAGCTTACTGTCGAGGTGCTCCCGGAGGGTGCCGTTGGGGACGTACTCGACGACGACGATGCGCTCCTCGCCGCACTACATGTAGGCGTAAAAGCGGACCAGGCTCTGGTGCTCCATGCGCGCCATGATCTTGATCTCGCTCCGGAACTCCACGTCCACGTGAGGGTTCTGCATCCGCTGCGATCATTCATCCCGGAATTTAAATTTGCTGTTTTCGTCCATCGATTGAGAGTTGAAGAAATCAGCAGGCAGCTTGGTGGATTGACTGACCAGCATGGCGCGCTTGACGGCGACGACGGTGCCGTCGGGGAGGACGCCCTTGTAGACGGCGCCGAAGCCACCCTGCCCGATCTTGAGCGCCGGCGAGAAGTTGTTGGTGGCGGTGAGGATCACCTCGATGGAGAAGACGGAGCTCTGGAACGACGGCCGGTGCTCCCTGCCGCTGGCGTGGCCACCGCCGCTGCACAGCCCGCGCGCAGAGGTCTTCGTCCCGGCGTACCCCGGCACTGCCGCCATGGACCACGACCATCAACATCATCACGCAATTGATTGAAGGGCACAAGTTGCTCGACCATGGCGGAGGGCACGGACTGGGGGGGTGAGTTGACTTACAAGGCGGCTTCTTGGCCCCGGCGTCACCCGCCAGCGCGGCGTCCCTGCTCCTCCGCTTCATGGACGCGGACGCGGACGACGACGACGACGCGGTGGAGAGCGAGCTGAACCACACCCCGATGGAACGGAACAGGGACCTCAAGGACGAGGAGGAGGAGGAGCTGCTTCTGCGGCGACGGCCTCCGCCACTGTCGGCCAACGGGCGCGACCACGCCGAGCTCCGCGGCCACCGCTCGTGCTCCGGCTTCCACCTCCCCGACCCCGACCCCGACGACGACGGGGCCAGGCTCCCGCGTCGGTCTCCCCCGGCCATGCTCCGCGGCCCGCAGTGGTTGGTCGGCAGACGCGGTCGCGTGTCGCGCCGAGCTCTGCGGCCCGCGCAGGCGGCTCATAAATGGAGATGGGGATGGGATGAGAACCGGAAATGAGGACGGGATGGGGCCAGGGTGCACACAAATCGACAAGTGATGCATGCATGCAAAGCGAGGACGGCCCCAGGCACCGGCCATGCATGTCACCTGCCACTGCCTCACCTGGCCGGTTGAGACGCGTTTCGTGTGAGCCGTAGAATTTCGATCTAACACATCAAATAAAAAGACTTACGTGGACATCCTAGAAAGCCGCCGAACGATTCGGCGTGCCTTCATATCTTTAATTCTTTCCTGCAGCTAAAGCACATGAATAAAGAAAGGGAGGTCAACAGACCCAACATTGGCCATGATCTAAACTGAAGTAATAAACGAAATGAGAGTTACTTTATCTTTCCTCTTGTATGATTCCATGCGAAAATTAAACTGTTCATGTGCTCTGTGCAACTCCCCAATAGGCTCTGCAAGGCTATTAAACATTTCAGTAAGAAACCAGCTTTCCTCTCAAAGGAACTACAAACTGAGATCTATTTTAACATGAAGTGTCACTTGCAATCCTTCTTATCTAATCGACTAAATTGTTCAGTTTTGCATAACCTTGCACTACTGTTTTTGACAGAGTTGTTCAGGTTGGCGGCGTCTTGAGCTTGCACAACAATAACAGTTCTAATAGCAGATGTGTGGTGTCCAGTTAAAATAGAAAATAATTTGGTGGGTCGGCTTGGTAGTGGGGGCATTAAGAGCTTTAGCTTACTTCTGGATTCCCAAACGGTACATCTTCTCTGCATCATTGAACCTCTTATGCTTCTCATAATATAGTGCATAAGCCATATAGAATGAAGCTCTTTTGAGGCCTATCCCATTCCTCTCCATCTTCTTTAGCAATGGCTTTGCATCCGTCACGTAGTCCATCTACAGGATTTAGAAACCTAATAAGATCATTTCTTATAACAATAACAAGGGCTCCAAAAAGAAATCAAGCTGAATATGGTTTAGTCATTTCCTCAAGAGCCATCGTAGCACTATTTACATTACAAATTTCCAGTGAGGCACTGTTTTCGTCGAGGACAACATTCACGCTAAGATATGATGAGATCTACACTCTACGGTATGATCTGGCTAACGAAAGTAGTATCTTAACATCAATACATATACGTCAGACAGAAAATTCAATTGATTGAACAGGTGCAGATTCTGGAGTTCGCTCCTAAAACCCACAAAGCCCCCCAACCGATCGAAGTATCAACCGCCGTCATCTCTCGATCGATCCCCAACGAAGCACAAGAAGTCAGCAACAACAAGCGAAGACGAAGGGGATCGAGACGTCTGGCTAACCAGCTGGATCCAGACGCGTAGGTACCGCGGGTCGTCGCGGTAGCGGGCGTCGTCCTGGAACTCCGGGGCGCACTTCTGGAGGAACCTGGGCAGCTTCTCCCGCAGCATCGCCGGCGGCAGCGCCCGCTCCATCTTCCGCATCCCCCTAGCAGACAGCGAGCGGGCGAATCAACCAAGAAAAATGTTTGACAAACTGGCCACGATTTCAGGCTACATATATATATATTGTGCCAGCGTTCACTGCAGAGTTTCCGATACATCATCCAGAACCAGAATTGCTCGAATCAAAAGTCTATCACTATCATATAGCAGCAACATCACTCTGACTGCTTAATGTAGAGACCGCGACATTATTTCACTGATGAAACAAAGCTTTCCTCTATGTAAACTGTAAAGAAACCCCCCACATGCCTGCTCAAAATTCAAATCCTATTCGAATGGCAGACGTGTCTCGGCCTGACAACATGCCCGTACAGTTGAGCGGCTGAAGGAACCAAATGCACACACGACTGGAGTGAACAACCAAAAGCGCACGCGAGTCCCTGACACACAGTACCACCGATCAAAAGTATCAAACGCCCTGGTGCCTTGCAAGGATCAAGATGGTGTTGGGTGTTGGATGCCGACCAATGATCATGCCGTCGTCTGGAACAGGTCTTGGAGGTCAATTATATCAGCAAGGACGCCGGCGGCAGTGGTGTCATTGCCAGCTCCTGCGCCCTGGATCACCAGGGGGGAGCTCTGGTAACATCTGCTGTATATCTCCACCTGATCGCAGCACAGAAAACAATTTTCTAGAGTGAGATTGTGCTCGTAGACATTCACGATAGGGATCCTACTAATCCTAGCAATAGCAACAATAAAACATGTTCACTCCCCATGAATAGGAACAGGAACCAACAGTCAGTGGTGACATACAAGGATGATCAAACGAAGAGAGATAGAATAAGAGAAAGAAGGGTGACATTACCACATTGTCACTTCCCCTCAATCTACCCAGCGCAGAATCATTTGGGAGCTCTTTAAGGCCTACTTGGCACCTGCAAACTGGGGTGTTAGACAACAGAAAGATTGAAAACCATCAAGCACCATGCAAAAAACAAGCACCAGAAAGAAGTTCCAAACAAATAAGAAGAAACCAAATAGAGTTAATTACAGGAGTGTCAATGGCAATATCAGTAAACCATGTTGTAGCTTCAGAAAACAGATTGATTTTTTATGCTAATGGATATCACACCAGGGCCTAGGGTGGATGCATACCCTGTGCTTTCAATCTCACAGACGTATCGAAGAACATTTCCTCTCAAAGATGCTGCTTTGACTTTTTCTTCCATGCTGTTGTCAAGTTGCACTAAACCACTTTCAAGGAAGTCCTTTGTGGACACTGCATCAGGTCCTAATTCACTAGGATATAAACTCTCAACCTGAGGCAAAGAGAAATAAAAAATCTTCAGTGTAACTGAGTCACTGACTGTAGGGCATAAGAGAAAGGAATTAAAAGTAACCATTGGCATTAAAAATAGTCAAACTAATAGCTCCCTCATATCATATAAAGTCAAAAGAAAAGCTTTCATGACATATAAAAGATTAAAATTGGCAGCTACCACAAGAAACAAGTGGTGCAATCAATCAGCTATATGACAACTTTACAAGTTTGGGGGACTATTTAATCTACTCTTACAGATTTAGCATATCAATGTACAATTGATGTAACAATTCAGACAAGTCAATCTATGCCTCGATAAAACAGGACACAAGCCTAAAAGATGGCCCCATGTAATCATTTAAATGAATAGGAGGCAGACCTTCCACAACTACAATATGTGAACAGGATTACTTTGCCCAGAAACTGCTTGATTATTGTAAGCAGTGAACTAACAGTGAAGTAGCACACCCATATCTATAAGCAATAACAGTGAAAATATCACCCAGTGTACAGAGCACCATGCCTATATAACAAGTTATCAAATATAAAATAATAATCTCAACTTCTCAAGAAATAGTACAGACAGGCATACATTGATACTCTCCATGCTTATCTGTTGCCCCAGAAGCCTAGCCAGGATCAACGCCTGCATTCAAAGATGAAGGTATTAAATGCGAATATGAACACTGGACTGTACCTCGACAGGTGGACCAGTTTGTGATAATGGTTATGTTTACATGATTTTTCACATAAAATTCTAGTAGGACAAAAATAAACTCAACACTGCAGCAGTTCATGCAATACACAAGAGTTCACTTAGGCAAGGGAAAAAACAGAATACAGTTTATTGAATGCGAAATTGTAAGGTATCTAACCTTTCTAGCCACATCCATTCCACCAAGATCATCACGTGGATCTGGCAAAAATAAACACTTCAATAAAGACATATTGCAAATAGGCAAAGCAATAAAAACTATGGTTGTGTTTCTTGTGCTTAGATTATTCATATTAGTAGTTTTTTGTTTGAGCTCTGCTTCACAAACAGGATCTACTAGAAATTGACACATATAACAACTGCGATGAAAATATATCACAAGATATCTGCAAGACCTGGTTCTGTATAGCCAAGAGATTTGGCATTTTTCACGACTTCACTAAATTTCTTTCCATCCTCAAGCTCACTCATCACATACCCAAGTGTACCTACAAACCCATATGAAGGAAAAACTTGTAATATTTTATATATAAACTTAGTCACCATTTACAAAATAGACTAATAATTGCATACCACTCAAACTGCCAACAATACGAGAAATAGGATCTCCAGATGCACTAATACGGGTTACAGAAGCTATCACAGGCAAACCTGCTCCAACCTGAAAGTATAACCTAAGTCAAAGTTAAAACACCATAAATAAAGGAGAACAAAATGTGAAATAGAACTGTCTTATATGTATGTCCTGACACTCCTATCATGTCTGTCATCTTCTGATGTCAAGCAAATGTTACGAACCAGTACAAATTAACTCAATGCAAAGATCAAAATGATAGAATTGCAACAATATAGCTAACTTCTTTATACACCAGTGCATTCAACGTTTTAAAGCAAGGTTAGAGATATAAACCATAACAGCAAAACTTTAGTCATGGACAGCAGTTGTTAGAAAAAATGCAAAGCAGCAGTTTGTACAGATCCACAAGCATCGAAACAGAAACAAAAAACCAAACATGAACATACAGTAGATTCAAATCTTATGCGACGGAAGTTGGAGACCAACTTCTGAAAATCCTCCTGCAACAGCAACAAATGTATTTGTTAACTAATCAGATAACAACAACTCTTTGTTGAACAACACGACAGAGTGCGATACTGCGATTCTGGCATTAGGAAAGACTATTATCAGAGAAATGGAAGTCAAATAGTATTACATAAGCACCAGTAAGAGGTTTCTTGTTTGCCAACACAATACAACATCCATGATCCACAGCATCTTTCAGCAGAGTAACAGTGTCATAAGTTGCAGAACAGTCAACTAGCACCAGACCTGAGAATAGGCGTGTGAAGATGAAATGTGAAATGTGGGCTTAAAAGGAATTCCGGGCTTAAAATCAGAAACACAATTGAAATTTATGTAGACAAAACACCAAGGATGTAAGCGTTTCTTATGCTCTACTGATTGGAAGATCAGAACATGTATGTGAAGTTGGGCACAGAACAACGAACCAGTTGTTCTTCCAAGTGTGGTAGCGGCGTCTATGACTTTGCCCCTAGCCTCAGGGTTCTTGAACAGCTGACAGTGCCCTGAAATTGCACATCCAAGTATCTATCATTCTACTATACATGTCAACGAAAACGATGGAGCGCGTACATCGGAAACGGGCAAAATCAAATGGGGGAATGTCTGTCTACCTTGGGCGAGCAGGGAGGAGAGGGGAGAGCCGGCGGACTTGGCGGCGCAGAGCTGGGTGAGGAGCGCGTCATCGAGGCCGGTGGAGTGGACATCTTCGGCGACGAGCAGGGAGGAGCTGTCGGCGACGCCCACCACCCGGATAGCCACGCCCTATCGGCGGCTCAGTAATCAGTGATCGCCGAATCGATCAGACGTACCCGCGGAGACCGGGAGGGGAAGAGCAATACCTGATTGGCGTGGAGGGGACGGCAGGAGACGATGTGGCGGAGGAGGTAGCGGCCGACGCCGCCGCAGCCGAGGAGCACCACGGGGAGAACCGACTTCACCGGCGTCGGCATTTGCGCAACTTGGATTCGTTCGAGAGGAAAGCAGGGTCTACGTAGGGACGGCTGGAACCGGGAACCTCCGGGGCACCTCAACTGGCCGCTGAGTCCGGCAAGAGCCCGCACGGAAGCCTCCGCCGCCGCCCGCCGTGGCCTGTGACGCGACGGAAAGGGAGAGGTGGTGATGTGTTCGTGTGGGTGGTACTCGCACTACCGGAGCTCCTGCTCCTCTCTCTGCCGTGTGGGCCCAAAGTGTGGACCCTGCTGAATCAACCACCACTAGAAGAGTGGGACCATGGTGTCAGTTTCATAGACTCAGTTGCCCAGCCGGCAGATCGACGCGTGACAAGCTTTGCCGTCTTTTCCTGCTTGCGGCGGCGGCGGCGGCGGATGAGCCCTAGACACCGGCGGACGGGCGTCGATCTGCAGCCACGGGTGAAATCGAGGAGGGAAGTAGTCGACGTTAGCGGACGAGCCGGCGGTTCACCTGGGTTCGTCTCCTCCCCTCTCCTCTCCTGTCCTCTCGTGCCCTCGTATCTCGCATTCGATTTTGCTTGCTCATTGCCTCATTCTGTCTCGGGTTGAACCACAGTGCCGTGCAGTTGTGAGTTCTACTGCTATGCAAAAAATTGATCCGATTCCATTTGAAATCAACACTGGAGTGCCAGATTGCAAAACAATAATCTATGCACACCATGCTTATCCATTTCATTTGGCCAAAATAAGTAGGATTACAGATTTGAAGTCAAGAAAAGGTAGGTAAATAAGAACAACAGCTCAATGGATTCACATGCCCAACACCAACTAATTATAAGAAAATTTACAGATGCAGGCAGTTACAGTTATGGATATCCCAAACCTCAACCACTGCTCTGATAAGAACATTAGCATACCCACAAAATTGAGCCAAACTCTGACTTAGCCAACATAGGCTCTCTCACATATGCCCTGCCACTGGCCAATAACACAATATTTTTTTTC